TTAACACGTCTATCTTCCGCAGATTGAAAGGAAGTTTGATAAAGTAACGGAAAAGTAAAAAAATTGTATAAATTGGAAGATAAAATTAATGAAGTATTGGAAAAGCAATAAATAACTCACAAAGCTGGCTTTACACGTCTATCTTCTGCATTCATCAACGTCCATCGGTTACGTTCACGTCGTGCCTTCTCTTCCGGTTTTTCTGCATCGATCTTCCGAAGTTCATCTTCGATCACATCCGTTTCTTTTATGCGTTCCAATGGTCGAACAGACGTATCCCTAAACGTATACTATAGAGATTCAGAAACGAAAGACTAAGCGAAAAAGTGTACACTTACAGTTTACAAGTGTGCTTATAGAACTCCGGAGGTATGTCGAAGAACTGCCCTATAGCAGCATCTGCAGGTGGTTGTGCATGAGGAATCTTCGCGCCCTGAGTCAGCTGTGGTGCAGACGCAGTTGACCGTGTTGAGCGAGTTTCTGTAATATTCCGACTAAGCCTAGAACAAACGTTGCAAAATCCACTCTCAAATAACTAACCAGTTGAAGAAGTTGGTGAAACCGCAAGAGTTCGCGTTGATTCCACGCTGGCAGTTGAGACACCGCTTAGTATGGAGCCTGTTGCCACCGAGCGATTTGTTGCTACACTGGATAAGGTGGTTGAGGATGCACCACTTGTCATGGACGCTGCTGCAACGGTATTTCATGGAAGAAAGAAAGAAAGTATTAAAAGAAAGAAAGTCTATGCTCTAAGTTTGAAAAAGAGAAAAAAAAGCATATTATCCAATCCAGTCAGGCGCCGACTAAAAAGCATAATAAAAGCGGATGGAGATTAGTAAAAACATGAGAAAGAGCGAAGGAGTGCTGCAATGGAGCAGTATTGCATGCGCACTTCAAAAATAGTGTATTGTATAGTTCTTTCAATATGTTCTATCGAATTCCATATGAAAAAGCGTAGATCCAACATTCTATATGAGTCGAAAAGGTAGCTCCGCAAAAATAAAATACCACTTTATTTGCAGTCAAAAAATGGTTTTATATTTTTTTCAAACTTATTTATAGCAACTCTCGTTTTTGGAACTCCCCACCCCTTGTTTCGCAACTGTTCAATGGGTGAAATGGATTCAGCTATTCAGGCAGTAGTAGACAAGACTCGATCTTGCTCGTACGCTGCCTTTTGAAGGATAACGCATGCAAAAAAAAGATAACACGTTGACGACGAGCCATTTTTTTGATGTCTGTCCT